GGGGCGCCTCTCGCGCCGCGCGTCTCTCGCTACTTTTCTCGCCCGGCCGCCGCCCCTCCCCCTCCGAGGGTGGAGGACGCCGCGGAGCTTGGGCCGCCCGGATCAAGATGGCGGCCGGCGCCCACCCCTGGGCTTTGTCATTGGACGGCGCCTCACCCCCAGGTTTCTCTTTCTTCTCCTCTCTCGCCTCCTTTCGCCCTCTGCCTTTCTTTAAATGGGCCTGCCTCAGGCCCCGCCCACCGCCGCCCCGGCTCCACCCATTGGGTGCTCTCAGAAGAGGGGCGGGGACTGGGGGGGGAGGCCAGTTCCTGGGAGAGAATGTTGGGGTGGGTGATGGTGGTGGTCTTGGACGCGAGTCAACAGTTGGGTGGGTGTGGGAGGGTGGCCATGTCTACAGTAGGAGGTGGATGGCGGCTCCATCTTGGGGAGTGAGTGGGTCTGTGGGTGTGCATGGAACTGGGAGATCTACCAGCCTGAGTAACAAAGGGAGACAGCCAAGGACCTGCTAGAGTCAGAGCCGGGGTTTAAGTCTACAGGGGTGTGCCTTTTACAGTTCCCTTCTAAATCCTCAGAGGCCCCTTTTGGCATCTTCGTTCAAAGCTCTTCTCTCTCTTGACCCCCAATCCATTGCAAGAAGTCAGTAAACACTCAGGTAATGTGGGTGGCATTGGAGAGAAAGGCTTCCTCCTGTCAGTGGAACCATCTTCCTATTGGAGAGACGCTTAATGAGGAAAGCAAAGCCTTTCATACTCCATGGAACTAAACACTCTTCGCTCAAGTGGATCAAACATCAATTACAACAAAGCAACTCTGCTTAAAGGAAATAGAATTATATTGAATATATAGTTCTGTTGGGGTACCCCCTCATATTTCGTTTGGTTTTTTAAAAGATGTCTATTTGTAGCACCATACCTATCATTAGAAAGCCTGCAGCATCACATATAGTCAACAGGCTCTGTTGGAAGGAGCACGTTTTTCAGGACGCCTGACCTTTTTGTGTTTGAGAGGATATTGTTTTGTCATCTTTTCTGCGTTCCATACTGAACTCAGTACCTGTGAGAGACTGGGCATTCAGTATGCCTGCTGAACGGAACAATGAAAAAGTGATGATTATTTGAAAAGGAGTAAGATAAAAGAAATGACGAAATTTCTTAGAAAAGGGTAGTTTTATGTTTTTGTAGTTGTGTTGCAGTTTTCTCATAACTCCTTTTTTTAAGGTGCCCCCCTCCCCCCCACCCCCGTGCTGGGGATCAAACCCTGGACCCGTGTACCAAGCAAACACTCTACCAGAGCTGTAGCTTTCTCTTAAATTTTTGAGGGCATAGGAAAAAATCCTGACACTTAGAACTTTGAAGTAGGCATGCAAATTTTACCCTATAATAAACTATACTTTTACAAAAGACAATAAAATACAGAATTTCTGTGATTTATATATAGTACTAACGGTTCCCTTGACTATTTGAATTTAAAGAGACCTAGTTCAATCGCTTTCTTTCTCAGATGAGGAATTTCGATCCAAAGTGATTCATTACTACACCTTATTGATGGCAGGATTGGGACTCAAGGTCTTCAGATCCTTAATCTAGGAATCTTTATACTAACTGGTAGTTTTTCAAATTATGCTGGTCTGTAATTCAGTGGGGTGACCAGGGAACAAAGCTGCACCCCTATTTGTATTTCTAACTGATGCATAATTGAGCAGTTTTTATCTGTCCTATATAAGACTTAGATAATATTTTGTTTGAACTAGATAACACTTTGTTTAGTTTCAATAAATACTAAAAAATAATTACAAAGTTACTTCTCTACACTAAAGTGTCCTCTCTACACAATGGATTTATTGGAAAAATTAAATTTCTGTGAACCAAAATCATGATAACTTTCTGCAAAGAAAATCATTTTCCTACAAAGCACAGATAATCAGAACAACATTATTGAGCTTCTTAGCAAATTTCCTAACTCGTTATAAAGAAATATTGAGGCAATTCTTTATATCATAATTAGTTGTCTTAGTAATTCTGAGAATAATGTGAAATTTGAATAACTTCCATAGGAATACTCCTGGATATTAACAGAAAATCTCACAGAGTAAGCCCAATAGAAAGCCAGGGGGACTTCACAGTAAAAGAAAAAGAGAAAATTAGGATAAATGTAGTTCTGGCTTCTTATAGTGCTATTCCCACAATGCCATGTTAATTATAATGTTATCAATTTTTTAGGTCTTTTGGCACATACATATGTACCAGGCATCTCTAGAGATGTATAGAATTAATTAATTTTAATTAAATATTTTTCAACAATTTTGATTCTAAGAAAACATAATATCTCAACAAATTGTCAAAACTTCAAAGAGTTTACTTATATTGCATCCTCAATGAATTTACCTTAAACATAATATTTTAATGAAATATCATTAGGAACCAGTATCCTGTTAAACTGCTTAAATCATTTTATAGTTTTAAATTTTGGTTCTTTTATCCTTTTACCATTGTTTCTTAATTTCTTCTTGATGTCTACCTTTGATTAGCTCACATAGTCTTATAAATCATTCCTTATCTATTCTAAGTGAGTAGAATTTGCACATAAAGGTGTTGTATTTCTTTGAGGTTCTGAAATATGAAGTTTATGGAAAGTTGACAAGTTAAGTTTTCCTTCCTGAGGAACGACAATAAATAATCCTCAATTTATTCCTTTACTCTCAAGAATAATTATGTCTGGTAGGTGACAGAGTAAGCATAAACAGAACTAGCTGCATGCTTCTATTTTCTGTATTTACAACTTACATTATCAAAAAATCATAATAATTGGACAGATTGAAAACAAAATATCCCTTAGCCACTCCAAATCTTTAATATCCCATTTCTATCAAATAATTTGCTTCTTCAATAGAAGCAAAACAAATTTAGTAGAGAGTATTGGATGAAAGTTGTCAAAAATATCTACTCTGGAATCAGACTTGAAATCATGTCTTTACAACAAAATATTTTGGGATCTTTTTAAATCTTTGTGAGTCAATATTCCCATCCACAAAAATAGATGTAACCTCTATTTCAATGGACTGTTTTGAGGATTAGATGAGATACTATTTATAAAACCTTTACTATAGTGCCTAGAACTTGGTTACAAAAGTTACAGCTATCTTTGTCTTACCTGATTTTGAGAATGTTTCTTGGTTTAACCAACATTTCAAACCTATTACAGGAAGTCTAGATATATAAATGCCTACACACATACTTTTGCTTGTTTATGACAGTGTCTTGCTATGACTATGTAGTTCAGGCTTGTCTTGACCTCTCTATGTAGGCAAGCATGGCCTCCAGATGATGGCAGTCCTCCTGCTTCAGCCTCCCCAAGTTGGGATCACAGCCATGTGCCACCAGCCCTGGCTGTAGATATTTTTATAAGTAATAGAATTGATGCAATGAAAACAAAAATGTTAGAGCTAAAAGGAATCTTAGCTATTATCTAATATAGCCCACATTCTGAATTGAGATGGGAATCCTGAGATCCTACAGATCTGCCCAAGGTCACAGAACTGGACAGTGGAAGACAACTAGAACTTAGTTCTCTGCTAGTCTGTAGGTGTTTCTACCCTTCTAAGTTTTGTGTTTAATCCAAGGACTTAACATTAATTTTTAGTTTAAGTGATATTGAAATGCAGCATGATACATCAAGAAAAAATTCAGTTTTTTCATTAGACCCATTCTAAAGCAATTTACATTATTTTACAAATATTATTTCAATATATGCTCTAATACTGCTTAATGTTAAAATATGTGAAGACCATGTAAACTGAGAGGATTAGACTTCTGCTTTCAAGAATACGGAATACATGTACTTTCTGTACTCCTCCTGCAAATTATAACTTAAAACTCTGGAGATTGCATATAAAATAAACATAAGAAGACTCTTAAAAAATGGAAAGAAGGCAGGTAGGCTTGTGATCTTAGATAACAGTGAGTTCCCTGGTTTCCTTTCCATCCTTTTCACCCAGAGCTGAAGTTGCTGAAGAAGACAACAACCCAGAAATGCTAACAGGTGTAAACTTAAATAGTTTTACCAGAATCTTGTTTTCTTAGCCATGGGATCAGGAAAGGGACAGTCTAGCAAGACAAAAACCTTTTAGAAAATAATTGCCCTCCTGCCACAAAATACCACAAATAAAAGATACAACTTCTGACCTTGCCAGGCTGTAACAAGGCACAACCGCATCTCTGCAGGGGTAGTATCAGAGGAGGCTAGATAAGAAATCAGAACTTTCATCCCTTCTAGGCAGTAAATAGGCAATCTCCACTCAAGATATCAGTGGAAATACTCCTACCCCTCCAGCCCTAGTAGGAAGTCCAAATTCCCATGCCCACACAACGCTAACTAAGAGCCCCTCACCTCACCTGGATCTCCTCAGAAGCAGAATTAGAAACCTGGATTCCTTGCTGGCGGTACTTAGACAGTTGGAACAGTGTTAGAGAAGACCAACTAAAATGTTTATGTAAGTTTCAGAGTCATAATTGAATACCCAAAATATCTGGGTTTCTATTGAAAACCACCAGAAAGGTCTCAAATTGAACGAAAAAAGATAATGTTTGCCAACACTGAGATGAAAAGGATATTAGAATTATATGGCAGTTTTCAAGTAATCATAAAAATACATCTACAAATAACTATTACTACCTTCCATTTTGGTATTAAGAGAAAAACTAGAAAGCTACAGCAAAGAAATAGAAAATCTCACAAAATAAATATGAGATATGGAGAAGAACCAAATGGAAATTTTAGAACTGAAAAATTTTAAAACCACCATTATAAAAAGGTTCAGAGGGTGGCTCAACAGTAGAATAGAGAGAACAGACAGAAAAATTTGTAATCTAAAGATACAATAATAAATATTATACAATATGAAAACAGAAAAATGAACAAAACATCAGGGATTTGTTGGACTATAAGATCTAATATTTGTGTCATTAGAATCCAAAGTCAGCCTGATTTACATAGTGAGACCCTGTCTCAAAAAAATAAAATAACAACAAAATGATTCCTTACTTACAAATGGAAAACAGTTCAAATGACATCAAATTTCTCATCAAAATCCAAGTATGTCAGAAGAAAATGGCTCAATATTTTTCATGTGCTGAAAGAGATGTGTCAACCCAAATTCCTATGTACTGTGAAAACATCCTTTAAGAGTATAAAAGAGATCAAGACATTGATCTCATGCAAACAAAATTTGTTGCCAAGAGCCATCCTCTAAAGAATAGCTAAAGGAAGTTGTGTAGACAGGAAACAATAAATGGGTTCTTAGAACATTGGGTAGAAGACAACACTGAAGGAAAAAATATATGCAAATCCTCTGTATTTTAAAAAAAATGATTTGATAGCTGATATGGACTGAATGTTTGTATTCCCACAAAATTCATATTTTGAAGCCCTAATCCCTATTGTGATTTAGCAAAGTAAAGGGACATAAAGGGAGATAAGGTTTCTAGATTTCACTAGAACTGGCAAAAATGACACCAGTAGACTGGTATAAATTATTTACATATAGAACAACAGAAAAACCTATATAAACAGATATACATACAAACTTTGTGGAGTAAAAAAAAAAAATTCTAAGAAACTTTTTTGGTAGATCCACAGAAAGGGAGAAAAAGAAAATAGAAAAATGAAAAACAGAGGAAATTTAAATTAAACTGAGTAGATAAATTATAAATAATGTGTTCCTCAATACTTATCTGTGAATGATTAGTCAGATTAGAAATTGTCCAGATGGGAAATAGGTCAAGAAATTGGCCAAATCTGAAATTACACAAGCCTAAAATTAACAAAAATTCTTCAGCAGTTGTTCTTTTTTGAAGGTTCAAGGGTGCATCTATGTCCTCAATTTTCCAATTTGTAAGACCTGTACATATTCCTTGGCCCAATGGTGCTTCCTCCATGCTGGGAGTCAGCAAAGTTACATCTCTGTGACCATTCTTAAGAGTTACATCTCCCTATGACTGTTCTTTTTAACTTCCTGCTGGTATTTTTAAAGCCCTTGTGAATAAACTGAGTCTACCAGACTGGTCCAGAATAATCTACCTATTTTAAATCATCTGCTTAAGAACAAAAATAAATAAATGAGTAATCTGATTAGCAACCTTCATTCCCTTTCAAGCCTTAATTCTCCTTTCTGGATAATTTAGCATGGTTGCATATTCCACAAATTAAGATATGAGTATCTTTAGGGGTGTCATTTTTTCTGCATACAGAATCACAACTTCAACTAGTAATAAAGCAAGTCTAATAAACAGATATTCCTCATTTCACAACTTAGTTCTGTTCCTTCAATTAGGCCATAAATGAATTGGTCACTAAATGAGCAATTGTGTGTAGTATGTACAATATTCAAAACAAAGAAATGGTCAAAGGAAACTCCAACTTGATGACTTTGCTTTTATTTGCATAACTCTTACATGCAGTACTGCATCATATAACAACATAAAACTACAGTACTGTATAATGCAATCAGCAAAAATTACAGTAGTGTATAAACAAGATCTGCTATACCAAAAAATAGACTTTGAGGATCTATAAACAGGATGTACAGAACTGTACACAAAAAAATAATAATGACAGATTGTAAGCTTTCGTGGCAGATCATAAGTCCAAACAGCACACCTTGGTCTTCAATCTGAACAGTCATTCAGCAGGTAGGTCATTGAATGAGTAAATATCTGAATATTGAATACTCGATCTATGTCAGACCCTGGGCTAAGCACTTCACTTCTTCCTCTTCATAACAAGTACTATTCTGTATGTTCCCTCTTACAAACAGGCAACATGGGAACTATTCTTTAACATCTACATATCTTTGGTCTTTCCCCCTTTTCCCCTTTCCAAATTTTACGCATCCTTTTGGCCACCTCCCCAAAGACATTGGTGCTGTTACTTTTTTGTTCTATGATGGCTGTAGATTTGCTTTTACCTCTCCTACTCCATGTTTTTCTGTCCTCATCCATACCCACACCTTAGTTTCATCCTAGTAAAATCACTGTTACTGAGGGGAAGGAGTTCTGTCAGTCGTGTCAGAGCAGAAGAAAAGTTGTGAGCCATCTAGGTTATAAACTTCACAGCAATGCTTTTTCTTATTCATCTTTGTATTTGTCATTGTAGGTATCACTGTCTTAATGTTTTCTCTGCATGTAGTACTTTATAACTTATTTATTTTTATCTTAAAGATAAAAGAACAAAAACAAAATAACAACAAAAAACTATAAAAATGATACAGAATCTCAGAACAAAATGATAGGAAATCAACAATGATAGTTGTACTACTTATTGTTATCTTCAAAGTAGTTGCTCAGATTACCAGATATAGGTATGCAAGATTGATCAAACAATTAAACATTACCTGTTCCTTATAATAACCCAATAGAAATTAGTAGTACAATTATGTTAGCTATCATATATATAAGTATAGATATACATCCTGTCTTTCTTTGCTACTTTATAATTTAAAAATATTTTATCTGATTTGATCCTTAAAGACTCAGGTTTTTGAAACAAGTCTTTTAATGTTGAAGATGACAGAATTGCTCTTGGCTATCTTTAAAACTTCACCCTTTGTATTTTCATCTTTTTTTGAATTTTAGTCTTGACTGACATGAGCAAGCAATGATTTAGTAAAGTACCATCATGCTCTAAAATTCTTTGAAGAAAAATACAGAAAATTAAGGATTTTTAAAAGATTAGAAAACATACAAACTAAATTATTACAAACCAATGGTTCTCATCCAGTTAGGAAGCCAAGCCATTGCAGTTGATGTGGTGCCCAGGGTCTGCAGCTGACTGCTCTTTCCAGTGTGGCAGGTGCCAGCGCATAAGAATACTGCCCATCTTCCAGGCAAGGGCTCCCACAGCCCTGGCTGCCTTTGGGCAGTGGCCACCGCATCCAGGCCTTGGCACGTAATTGCTGGAGAATTGTCTGGGAATAACATCTGGCATGACTAGGGAAAAGGAAAGGAGAAGTGATGGAGACCACTATGAAGCAGCCTTGAGCAGGACTTAAATTAATCAAATGGCTTTTCATTTTCACTTGTGAATCTGTCAAAGGCCTAGGCTCCTTGTCTAGAAATGGATGGCAGACTCATAGTATGTGAACCTCTGAGTCATTAATCCCTACTGAAGCCTGTAATGGCAGATGAAGCTGGAAAGCCTCAAAGGATAAGACAAGATCACAGCCAAGGATACCTGGATCTGTTCTCAACTAGATTAACACTATAGCCTCAGGCATCTCACTCCTGGGTGGATTAATTTAATCCTTATTAAGGGTTAATTTAATACCTAACTTGGAGAAGTCCTTGAGTGATTTTGCCCTTTTTGAGTATGCTCCTCCTTTCTTCTGATAACCAAATGAATATGGGCCACCCAGAGAAGGTCTTGGTCTTAGCCCTGAGAGAATCTCAAATTCTGTGAGAAGGGTTTGACCCTCCTGGAGCCCTGCAATCATTCCATTTGCCTCTTTTTATTTAGCCTTTGCCTTACACTCATTCATGAGATTGCAGACCTGATCAGCCCACAATAACTAAGTGATATTATTAACCTGATGGAGAAGTAGCTTAGAGCAAGTTTATGGTCCTCTGAAAGGGCCATGAAAGAACCTTAGAGTATGCCTTTTACCAAGTCTGTGCTGCCTTGGGCACTGAATGTTTGCCCAGTAGTCAACAGTGAACTCCTCCTACCAAAACAGGAAAAAACAAAAGCAAGACATTTTCCTCTTCACTTAGTTTCTTTTCTTAAAACCCCACCTCACACAAAAATTTGTCCCCACTTAGCCAAACTCACCTCCTTTGGTCATACACAAGGAGGGAGCTCCACAGAAGACTTTGCTAAAAGGCTTCTATTTTCTTCCTTATTATTGTAACCTTTTTTTTTTTTTTTATTGGGTTTTGTTGTGGTATTTTCATATAAGCATATAAAATATTTTTATTATATCCTTTCCCTTATTGCCATCTCTAACAGCCCCACCCCCTTCCCCTTGTTCCCTTCCTCTGGCCTAAGACTTTCCCTTCTACTTTCATGTCTTCTTTTTTTTAAGATTCCGCATATTAGGGAAAGCATGTGATACATACCTTTCTGGGTCTGGATTATTTAGTTTAATACGTTGATTTCCAGTTCTGTCCGTTTTCCTGCAAGTGACAGAATTTCATTCTTTGTAGCTAAATAATGCTCCATTTTATACATATTTTCTTTATCAATTTCTTTATCAATATGGATTCTTTATGATTCCATATTTTGCCTGTGGTGAATTGTACTGCAACTAACATAGATATGCAGGTATTTCATTAGTACACTGAATTTAATTTCTCAGTTATATTAAGAGTGGTACAGCTGGATCATGTGCTAGCTCTATTTTTAGCTTTTTCAGGATCCTTACTAGTGATTTCCACAGTGGCTGTACTAATTTACATTTTAACCAATAGTATAGGATTCTTCTCTCCCTGCATTCTCACCAGCATTTATTATTTTCTGTGTTCTGGATGATAGCCATTCTGACTGAGCTGAGGTGGCATCTCAATGTAGTTTTCATTTGCATTTCTCTGATGGCTAAAGATGTTAATTTTATTTCATATAATCATTGACCATTTGTACTTCTTCTTTTGAGATGTGTCTGTTTGTCTCCTTTTGATTGGATTATTTTTTTTTTGGAGTTTTTTTGACTTCTTTATATATTCCAATATTTATATATTCCAAGTATTAATCCTCTGTGGAAAGAGTAATTGAGAAAGACTTTCTCCTATTGTGTAAGCTGCCTCTTCACTCTGTTGTATCATTTGCTGTGCAGAAACTTTTAAATTTGGTGCAGCCCAGCACCTGCCTGGCAAGTGCAAGGTCATACGTTTGATTCCCAGTAAAATAAACAAATAAACAAACAAACAAACAAAACCTTAAATTTGGTGCAACCCCATTGCTAAGGCTTGCTATTATTTTCTGAGCTATTGGACTCCAGTTCCAAAAATCACTGTTTATTCCTACATGTTGAAGTGCTTCCTCAGTTTTCTTCTAACAGTTAGGTCTTTGGTCCTTTTACAGTTGTTTTTGGTATAGAACAAGAGATGAAAATCTAGCTTCAGTCTTCTACATGTTTTCCAATGACCATTTGTTAAAGAAGCTGTCATTTCTCTAACATATGTTTTTCGACCCTAGAATTAGATATCTGTAGCTGTGGGGGGTTATTTCTCTTCCCTCTATTTTGTGTCTTTAGTCTACATGTCTGCTTTTATGCAAGTACCATGCTGTTTTTGTTACTATGGGTCTGTAATGTATTTTGAAATTGGGAATTATGATACCTCCAGCGTTGTTTTCTTTTTTTTTTGCTTGGGATTCATTTGGCTACTTTGGGTCTTTCATGCTTTCATATGAATTTTTGCATTGTTTTTTCTACTTCTGTGAAAAATGTCATTGGTATTTTGATGGAAATTTATTTGAATCTATAGATCACTTTAGGTAATATGGCCATTTTAAACAATATTAATTCTGAAGATCCATGAACATGGGAGGTCTTTTCATAGTCTAGTGACATCTTCAATTTATTTATTCAGTGTTCAATAATTTTCACTATAGAAGTCTTTTATCTGCTTGGTTAGATTACTCTTGAATATTATTTTTTTAAGTATTGTGAATGGAATTGCTTTTCTGCTTTCTTTCTCAGTTCATTATTGGCATATAAAAATCTATTTATTTTATATGTTGATTTGATATCTTGCCATTTTACTGAATTTGTCAGATCTAAGTCTTTCAGTGGTGACTTTAGGGTCTTCTATGTGTGGGATCCCATATACTTCAAATTAGGATAATTTGACTTCTTCCTTTTTCTATTGTAGTTCTATCTTTCTCTTGCCAACTTGCTCTGGTTAAAATTTTAAGTACTATATTAAATAAAAGTGGTGAGAATGAACATTTTTGTCTCATTCCACATTTCAGAGGAAATGATTTGTTTTTTCTGTTCAGTGTGATGTTGATTTTGGGTCTGTTATACATAGCCTTTATTAAGTTGAGGTATGATCTTCCTATATCTAACTCCTTCAGGGTTTTATCATGAAAAAATATTGAATTTTGTCAAAGGATGTTTTTCTGCATCAATTGAAATGATCATGTAATTTTTTCCTTGATACTATTTGTGTAGTATATTATGTTTATTGATTTGCATATGTTAAATCATCTTTGTGTCCCTAGAATGAAACCAATTTAATCATGGCATATGATCATTTTGACATATTACTGTACTTGGTTGGCAAGTATTCCATTAAAGATTTTTTGCAACTATGTTCATGAAGAATATTTGCCTATATTTTTCTTTTGTTGTTGTGTCCTTATCCAGTTTTAGTATCAGAATGATATTGGCCTCATAGAATGAGTGTGGAAGTGTTCCTTCCCTTTCTATTTCATGGATTACTTTGAAGAACATTGGTGTTAGTTCTTCATAGGTTTGGTAAAATTCAGCAGCGAATGCCTGGTGCTGAGTTTTTGTGGAAGATTTTTTGTTACTGCTTCAATCTCATTGCTTGTTAGTGATCTGCTTAGGTTTTTTTTTTTTTATGTCCTCTTGCTCAATTTTGGTACAATACCTAATTGAGGTGTGTGTCCTCAAATTTATCAATTTCTCCAAGAGTCTCCAATTTATTGGAATGTAGGCTTTCAAAACAATCTCTAATGATCCTCTGGATTTTAGTTGTGTCTGCTGTAATACTCCTTTTTCTTTAATCTCTAACTGTATTTATTTGGGTCCTCCTCTCTTTTGGTTAACTTGGCTAAAAGTTCATGTGAATTTTTTGTTTCTTCTGATCAATTTTAGTTTAAGTCTGCTTTGTTAAATATGAATATAGATACTCTTGCTTGTTTTCAGGTTCCATTTGCATGGATTACTATCTTCTATCCTTCCACTTGCTAGGGAAGTATGTGTTTTGCAAAAAGCAGAGTTGAGCCTTAGTTATTTATTTGTGCGATTTGCTGGTCAGTGTTTTTTAGTAGGAGAATTAAGGCCCATTGCATTAAAGCTTACTCTTGAAAGGTATATGCTAATTAATTCCTGTCAGTTTGTTGTTTTTCTAATGTTTGAGTCTTTCCCAACTCTCAATTGTTTTTGTTTTGTTTTGTTTTGTTGTTATTTTAAAAATAAAAGGAGGAAAACATTGACAGACAGACAACCTTTTACAAAATAGCAAAAGAACAGTACAGACAATACAGAGTTACAAACAAAGTGGTAGGAAATTAACAATGCCTCTTGTATTACATATTGATATCCGCTTTGTTTCATCAGTGTAAAACCCAGCTCTCATTTGCTTATCTACTCTTCTTCTGTTTATAGGATTCCTTCTGCAGTGTTGGTTTAGTGGTCATGAATTTCTTTAACTTGTACTTATCTTGAAAGGTCTTCATTTCTCTTTCAGTTTTGCAAGATAACTTTCCTAGATAAAGTAATCTAGTTGAACAATTATTTTCTTTCAGGGCTTGAAAGAAAGCATCATTCCACTCTTTTGCCTTCCCTGGGCCTTCTCTGTTAAGAAATATGCACTTATTCTGATGAATTTGCCTTTATAAATGATTTAATATTTCTCTCTTGCAGCTTTCAATAATCTTTACTTGTTCTATACTCTTGGCATTTTAAGTATACTATGACAAGGAAAGTTCTTTTCTTGTTATGCCTGTGTGGGGTTCAAAATGCCTCCTGTACCTCAGTGTCCTTATCTTCTGTCTTGGTTACTTTTCTCTCCTTGCTGAGACAAAATACCGGGCACCCAAAATTAAGGACAGAAAGGTTTATTTAGCTTAAAGTTTGTGGAGGTTTCAGTCCATACTTGGCTGGCTCCCAGGCAGAAGGTAGCAAAGCAACAAGAGCAAAAAGGGGAATGGCAGCTGAACAGCAAAGCAGCCAGAGCAAAAGAGAGGAATCCCGGCCAACAGCCTCTTTCCCTCCCTTACACTGTAAACAGGCTACCTCCACC